CTAAAGCCCTCTCTTGTGTGCCTCTCAAAGCTGAATTTTAAGCTCTTTCAGGACAGGGCTAAAATTATCTTTTTAGCTTGTTTAGATGTACTGTCAAGTCATGCCCTATTGGTGTCTCTTATCATTGTCCTGAATGATCAACAAGATCTCTGACTCTGCTTAGTCAGAACGTGAAGGATTCCTCGACTTGTGTGAGCTCTGGTAACTGTTCACCTTATAGTTTTCCGTCAGAGTTTCACCCTACGTATGGGCAGATTAGTCTTTGTCAGGTTTGTCAATTAGGGTTTCTGGAGCTCTTAGGCTGAGTAGCTCCCTCATATCTGATACTCTCACCTGCAAATTTAAACCATTTTCTCTTTAAACTGTTCTTTAACCTTTCAGCTCTCCAAGACTGTTGTGCTTTGCTGGGGATTCCCCTTCTAGTACCAGTATACAGAAATGCCTCAAGCAGAAAGCCAGTGGGCCTCACCTCACTGGCTTCCTTTGACTCAGGGATCACAATCTTGTCTTGTCTGTTGTCCAATATGTGAAAACAGCTGTTTTCATATTTGTCCAGAGTTTTAATTGTTAATTGTGGGAGGATTAATCCAGTTCCAATTATTCTATTATGGCTGGAGAGCAGTGGTGCAATCACAGCTCACTGTAAACTTGAATTCTTGGCCTCAAGCAATCCTCCCACCTCAGACTCCCAAAATGCTGGGATTATAGGTATGAGCCACCATGTCTGGCCCAAAGCCTCTTTTAATAAAGTTTCCAGCATAGATGTTTTACCAGATTTCATCTACCATAATAACCCAATCCATATGTGCCTTCCATCCTTCCACCTATCTATTCAGTGGCTGCTAGGTCCTTGGAAAACAAAGATACATAAAACTCAATTACTGCGCCCCCCAGAAACTCACAAGTAAAAGGGAAACGGGTAATAAATTAGTACAATTACACAAGGTACACAAGGGGGTGTAGGGACATAGAGAAAGATACGGTCTAATCTATGTGTAGGTCAGGAAAGATGCTGTGTGTGCACGTGCATGTGTGTGTGATTAACTACTTGAGAGCAGATCTTGAAGAATGAGTAAGAGATTAACAGATGAGGTTAAGACATTTGGGACAAAAGAAACTCTGTACACAAAGTATGAAGTTATGAAATAACATGTAAATTTGGGACAACTACTACAAGTTCTGAAAACTTACAGTACAGAGTTTAAAGCAGGGAGGGGAGAGAACTAAAACTATGGAAAAATAGAAACAGGAGGATATCATGAGGGGGCCTGAACGCCATGCTGATCACAATTCACATCTGTAATTCATCATTATCAGCTACTATCTATTGTGCTGATAGGATATATGTTTTAAATATATTATCTACATTACATTTAATTCTCAAACAACCTTATATGGAAATTAGGGCTTAGAGAGCTTAAGTAATTTTGTCCAACATCACATGGACACTAAGTGAGGAAGCAAGGATGTGAAAACAGGTCTGTTTGATTTCAAAGGGAACTTGCCTTGAATCTCTAGGTAATGGGAAGTTATAGGAGAATTGTCTATGTCTGTAAATGTTTTTCTGAAAAATTACATTCACTGATGGAACACTTTTAGGTAGGCAGGAGATAGTCTATGCTTTTAGAACGGTCACTTTGGAGCATGAGGAAGGATTGGAGGGATGAGGCTGGAGTCAGATGAGCCAGCTGGTAATAATGCAGAAGGAAAAGAAAAGCGTAGATTAGGTGGTGTTTAGGAGGGATGGGGAAGAGGATGTGGATCTGCCAAATGTTTAAGAAGCAGAATCTGTCAGAGTAAACACATAGCTTCAGCAAAATGGTAGATTTTGAGGTCAATGATGGCTAGGCTGAGACACTAAAATTACCAGGTCCGATGCTAAATGCAGGGGACACAGAGATGGGCAGGGCATGATTTCTCCTCTGGATAGCGCATGTCGCATCACAGAATCAAAGCTGTGAATTCCATCGAAATACAATAAATACCTTACAGACCACATCTCCCTCCATTACAGCCTTCAGAATCCTTAATGAGTATAGAGGCCCAAGCTGGAAACCACTGCTGTAGAACATTCTCAACCCTGTTACAAACCAGCTTGCATATAGGAGGTCCCATTTGTGCAGGCTGAGACTGTCAGGACATGGAGGTTATTAACTGTCCCCCAACCTTGCCTATAATTATCAGCAACAATTTTATTAAAAACAAATGCAGGTACCATTTCTTGAATGCTGACAACATACAAGTACTGTGCCAAGCATTTGATAATCATTACCGTAAGTATTTGCCACAATAATCCTCAGAGCAGGCCTGGTACTCCTCTTTTAATGTGGAAAACTGAGGCTCAAAGAGGGAAAATAACTCACCCAAGTTACTTTGGTTCCCTGAGGCTACCTCATTTATCATTTAAAAGGCATCTTGGAATCTGCCATCTTCAGAAAGACTCCATTATCCTCCCCAAATTTTGTTACTCTCTCTCCTAGGCCCTTCTGTGCCCGATTCCTATTTCCCTGTGGTCCCTATTATGCTATACTGTAATAGATATGTAATTGACATATCTGTTTCCCTTACTGACATATAATCTTTGAAGATCTGCTTTCTCTTTGCTGCTCAGTGGCAGCACAGGGTCAGAACAGTGCAGGTGGGACCAGTCAGTCCACTCCATGGTTTCTGACCTGCCAGTCATTCATCTCATGCTCCCCAGGGCCCTTGGCCATTTCCTGTACCTAACAGACCTCAGGTTCACTTCCCACATTCACTAGGCAGTTGTCAAGTTCATATCTAAGATATCCGTGGCTTCGAGAGGTATTTGCCCACTGAAAGGAAACAGGGATGACAGCCTCAGATTCCTTGGACCAAAAGAACTCAAATTATATCTAGTAGGCCCTAGGGTATCAACCATGTACCCTGTCCTGACATGATGCTTATACCTCACAGGTCCTCATGTCTGTCTGACACTTTAATTTTTCCAAGTTCTGTCATCTCTTGCTGCCTCAGAGGGAGGCAGGATACACAGCGTAGAGGCAGCATAGACTGGAGGTTCGATCTCAGCTGTGCCCCTTATCACCTATAGGATTTAAGGAAAGGCACATGCTCTCTGAGGTTCTCTCCTCTCTGTAGAAAGGAGAGATCACCTGTTCCACAGGGCTACAAAACTAACTGAATGACATCCTGAATGTGGAAGACACCTAGTAGGGCAGAGGGGCCACGTGGCTCTCTGGACCCACAAGGTTGAGTTCATGCCTTGGCCCCACCTCTCTCTAGCTCTGTGGGTCAAGTGCGAGTATGGGAAAAGACCATCCTCAGAGTGGCATGAAGAGTAAATGAGAGGTCAATGACAGGAGCTCAGTGCAGTAAGCCAGCAAATGGCAGCCACTGCTGAATTATAAGTGGAGCACTGCTGTAGAACACAAATGACTCCCCCAGAATCTCACAGTGGGTTAGGTGTAGAGAAGTTTGAAATCTTGTTATGGCTGGGCACAGTGGATCATGCATGTAATCCCAGCACTTTGGGAAGCTGAGATGGGCAGACCGCTTGAGCCCAGGAGTATGAGACCAACTTGGGCAACACAGCAAGACCCCATCTCTACAAAAAGTAGCTGAGCGTGGTGGCATGCGCCTATAGTCCCAGCTACTCGGGAGGCTGAGGTAGGGGGATTGATTGAGCCCAGGAGGCAGAGATTACAGTGAGCTAAGATAGTGTCACTGTACTCCAGCCTGGGCGACAGAGCCAGAAGCTGTCAAAAAAAAAAGTAAAGAAATTCTCCTTCAAGACATTCATCACCAAACACCAATCCTTTCAGAACAGCTACCCACAGGGTGCCACTGGGGCTCCTGGCAGTGATGGTGCACCAGTGCCCACCAGGTAGAACACTCCCCTGACCAGGACGCCAATCCTGGCCCCATATGAGCACCACATGGCCAGGAACAATGACCCCTTTCATTCTGGAAGTCAGGATTACTCTACAGATCTTCTTGCAGGCAGAGCCATGGAGGCCAAAGCAGAAACAGCAAAACCACCCTTGCCTGTGAGGCCCAGTCCTCATTAGCATGGACAAGGGGAGAATGGGTCTACCTCACACAGCTGCCTACAGGGCAGCTCTAAGTAGGAATGGAAGACAGGCATGGAGGCACATGTTAGTGTGGCAGATGTGGCAGCCAGTTACTTTTTGCTCAATAGAACCCACATTCTGTGTAGGCCTGAGGCAGCAAAGTGCACTGTGGAGGACACAGCCATGCCGACAGCACTGGTACCTGGCACTCCATGCGGGGAAAAGGCTGTTTGAAGACGGTCTAGGAAAAAAATATAGGTCTGAAGTACCCCAAATTGTTCACACTGAAAACCCCACCAGTTGCCTTCTTGACATTACGTGGAAGAAGCGGTCCTGGTGTCTAGAGGTGGCAATGTGCTGGGGAGAGGTGGCAAGACCCTCAGATTCCCACAGAAAGAGGAGAGGTCTAAGCACAAAGGTCACTTCACAGTCTTTCTGATGAAAATGAAAGAGCAAAATTAGAGTAAAAAAATAAACCACCTTCTAACTTTTTTTTTTTTGAGATGGAGTCTCGCTCTGTCGCCCAGGCTGGAGTGCAGTGGTGCGGTCTTAGCTCACTGCAACCTCCACCTCCCGGGTTCAAGCGACTGTCCTGCCTTGGTCTCCAAGTAACTGGGATTACAGGCAAGCACCACCATGCCTGGCTAATTTTTGTGTTTTTAGTAGAGATGGGGTTTCACCATGTTGGCCAGGCTGGTCTTGAACTTCTGATCTTAGGTGATCCACCCACCTCGGCCTCCCAAAGTGCTGGGATTACAGGTGTGAGCCACCGCACACGGCCACTTTCTGACTTTCTACACTGAGATAAAGGTTTCAGTGGAGAAACAAACTGCAGTTCTCAGGTCACAGGAAAACCTTGGCTATCTCCCCTCCTTCCCTATTCCTCAAAGGCACATTGATTTCCTTTGCAGGAGCTCACAGAAGTCAGATCCTCATGAGCTCATTACCTACCACGTCATTTGGGAGACTCTGGAGGTCATCAAAGGGGGTTTCCAGGGTGTTGGTGTCCACATTCAGGATCACGACATCATCCAGGGCCATGTTTCTGACTTTCTGCAAGGAGAAAACAACCAGAAGAGAAGGTCATTGAGGTGCCATCAAGACACGCTTCCCCTGCCTTCTCTGGGGAAGAGGAATACAGAAGAAAAGTGACATTTGACAAAGGCTCACTCTGCAACAGACCTAATGGTAGGAAGTTCACAGCTGTGAGCTCACTGAACTCTCATAAAACCTCTGTGGGCTTGCAGGATTATCCCCAAGTCCCAGAAGTGAAAAGGGTTCACAGAGCCAGATAGTACACTCCATCATCATTTCCCCCCTATATATTTAACAGATGCTGAGGCCAAAAGTTCTAGTCCCAGGAACGCTGATATACAGCTATGTTCTTAGACATCCCCATTCAATCCAGCCTCCTAATTTACCAAAGGCTACTTGCCCATCTCTCGTTTGGATCCTGTCATTCTTGGGTATGGAATATTGTGTGTGGCCTACTGTTAACACTTCTGTTAAATGCTAAGTAGGAAGGTCACACTTTCAGTTTGGTTCTATTTTCCACAGATATCCAGCTAGTAATGGCTCAGAAGCTCTGGCCATAAGCCATTATTCTATTGGCACAGTAATAGAAAAGATGAGGGAAACTCATGCCTACAAGGTTTTCATGCTTGGTGACAGGAGAAGGGATGAACGGACAATATGGAGAAAAGAAGAATCCCACCCCCCCCAATCTGGCAGCAATTCCACATAGCCTGTGTGAGTCCAAGACAGGGTGTAGCCTGAGTCTTAAATTTTTAATCACGCTGTTTATCCACTACTAAGATCCATCTTTGTTTCTCTCCTGCCTACCCGTCCCATTCAATTCTCCTTCCCCGTCACGTATCAAGCATATTCCTTTCGAGTCAGAGGCTTTAGAACTACTGTCTTTACTTTATTTTGTGTAGAAAGATCCTATCACTTGCTGTCTAAACTGGGACACATGTGGATGTGAAAGACCTCAGCTTACACCAGGGCAACAGGCACATGACGGGGCCTGTGGTCACTGCATATAAAGGATCAGTTCCATTACTGGTCAACCTCTGGGCACGCTGCATGTGGCTGTGCAGGTATGCACTCCTCAGATGCCAACCACCTAAGCTAGGGCTGAAATCTGTCAACCGAGTGGCACCAGTCAGGGAAGCGGGACAGATGTCTTTTCCTAATGCACACCAGAGTACGGTATAGGCTGGCAATGGAGGCAGACATCCAACGGCTGCTCAAGCTCCAGTTTTCCAGTGCCTTGGAAATGGGTAAGTAATTAGAAGCTTCCTACCTTTTTCTCTGTGCTTTCCTCACCTTATTTCATTTAATTCTTATCAACCCCTGCAAGGTGGATGTGACTGTCCTCAATGTTCGAACCTCAAGGAAGATGAGGTTCAGAGCACTGAGATAAAAGGCAGAGGCAACCAGAGGCCCAGCTCCCTCCCCAGGCCACACTCTCTGCACTGTACCATCCATCTCCGCATCATCAGGCATCTGCAGGGAGACTGACCTCTGCACAGCCCTTGTCACTCTGAGCCCCAGCACCTCTCTGCCTGCCTGCCTCCCCTGCTGGGGTATGAGCTCCTTCAGGGGCACATCTGTTTGGCTCACAACTACAAAATAACCAGCCCCTGACAACATGACTGGCACCCGGTAAGTGCAAACTAATACTGGTTGACGTTCACTCTCTTAAACCCCAGCCTCTAGGGCAGAACTTGGTACCTAAGTAAACATTTCAAGATTATTCCCAGCAGGAGGGTGGAGCCATGCTGGTCACAAGCCTTGTAGGGTTGAAAAAACACTCCGAGGCAGCAGAAATCCTGGAACCTTTCCACTTAACACCACGGGACCCTCCTATCCATCAATTCCTAAATATTTACTAAGTGCTTACTATGGGCTGAGAACCACAGAGGACAGACACAATTGTCAATGTCGGAGTTTATTCTTTCCTCCAAACCCCAACACTTGTCATTACCTGCTGCCTTATTTATAAGGTAAAAAGATAGCAGCAAATGAATTTTGATCACATTAGGTTGGTGCAAAAGTAACTGCCGTTTTTGCCAAAGTAATGGCAAAGACCATAATTACTTTTGCAGCAAGCTAAGAATACGAAAAACAAGTTCATCTTGTACAGCGCTTTTGTCACACTTCAGGCTCACACAGCACTGGTACACAGATGCTTTCATTCCATCAATGGGGCTGGAGGTGAGATATCATCATCCCCATTTCAGAGATGAGAAACCGAGGCTCCAAGAAGTAGCTGGCCCAGGGTTACGTGTCTACTAATTGACTTCATCCGTAAAATTAAAATGGTAACGGTGGCCACCCTACTTCTCTCACTTCTTACAGGGCTGCTACGATGAGAGCAAACACACCCACAATGCTGGTCAAACAGTAGGCGGTAATAAATAGTGGCTATTTTTATTACTTTGATAATACACACAATAGCTACAGCCAGTCTGAAAGGCTGTAGTGGCAATGGCCTGAGGGCAAAAGTCCATGAGGCCCCTTCTTGCTTGGTCTCTCACTTCAAAGTCTGTGCACAGTCACAGGAAACAGAATCAGAGAAAGGCTCACAACATCCTGGAGGACGCTATGCCTCTAGGACGGAGCAGGGGGCCGCGAACCCCAGAATCACCTACTTTGCCTCATCTGACCTTCCACATAGCCCCAAATAGAAGGGAGCAGCAGGCATGGCCATTGGAGAGAAGCCTCCAGGGCTGAAAGGCCCTGTGAATGGGATGTTGATTCTGGACCAGAATCGGGCCTTGTTTCTGCGTTCCCACTGGGGCCCAGTACACAGACCAGCCCTTGTAGGCTCTCCACGCCTGGGCTGGAATAGGCTTTTGATTTCTTCCCACTCCTGGCTGGAGGACTTGCCGGCTAAGCTGTGTGGAGTGTTTACTTTTTCAACAATGGCAGCAGGCTGAAGAATAGGGAAAAACCTGGCCCCTTTTTCTAACTTAGCAGGCCAGGGTCCCCTTAGTAACCAAAATGCCCCAAGCATCAGGCTCCAGGCAGGAGCTGGGGCGGCACAGTTTCCTCTCAAAAGACAATGCTGTCCTCCTGATGGCAAGACCTCTTCCAAAAGGGCTGGCATGGACTCAAGGGCTTTCCTGAAGCTCACTGTTCCCAAGGAAAGAACTGGAGCCCAGCTCCCCGGATGGTGCCCGGTCCTCCAAAGATCAAGGCAACCAGGGGAATGAAGAAAGGCAAGAAAACTCAAACTGGGGGTGGGGATGGGAAGCGCTGATGGAGAAGGAAGCCAGACCTTTGCCAGGTCCCAGGACCTCTCATCTTAAACATGCTATCAGGGACACTAGCATCTCTGTGTGAGAACAAAGTGGAGGCTCAGAGAGGTCAAACAAGCTGCCCAAAGTCAGAGCTAGGGAGCAGCAGAGTCAACTTCTGAATGCAGTCTGACCCCAAAGCTGACTTTCTTCTGAATAAAGTCCTAATCCAATCGCTCAGATTTCAGAATTAGTATCTGTCTGTTAGGACGCACAGTTGTATGAATATGCTCAGGGCCTACTTTCTCTTACATAAAATACTACTTTCCTTTTGTATCATAAAAATTATAGATGCCTACTTTTTAAAAAATGGGAAAGGCCAGGAGTAGTGGCTCACGCCTGTAATCTCAGTACTTTGGGAAGCTGAGGTGGGTGGATCACCTGAAGTCAGGAGTTCGAGACCAGCCTGGCCAACATGGCCAAACCCTGTCTCTACAAAAAATACAGAAAATTAGCCGGGCATCGTGGCAGGCACCTGTGATCCTAGCTACTCAGGAGGCTGAGACAGGAGAATCGCTTGAACTTGGGAGGAGGAGGTAGCAGTGAGCTGAGTTTGAGCCATTGCACTCCAGCCTAGGTGACAAGAGTGAAACTCCATCTCAAAAAAAAAAAAAAAAGGGAAAAGCAGAAAAATTTAAAAATGAAAACTGCAGTTACTCCAGTCCCAGTCCCTACATTTGGAGACAATGTTTTGGTCTACTTCCTTTCATATTCTCCCCTTCCTTCATGTTAAAGCAAAGCTGAAATAATTCTTAATGCTCCTGATTTTCTCACTGATTCTAATATAAGCAGTGATCCACTTCATTAAAAACTTTGTGTAGCTCATTACTAATTGCGACAGTGTCCTACTACATGGAAACAAACTCAGCCGAGCCCCTTTTGTAGGATGTTCCTTCCAGTTTTGAAGAAATTACCATATATAATATTGCCATGAAATCTATAGGCATGAAGCTTTGTGCTTTAGGATGCATTCCTAGAAGTGGAATTTAGTTTCCACTTCTTAAAAAGTGTCCCTCTCAAATTCGACTTTGAGAGAGATATCTTTACTTCCAATTATTTTAAAGTCATTTTATCCACAGCTTGTGTTTCCTACTCTAAGTGAAGAAAAATCAGCAAAGACACGAGCAGATGTCAAAATAGTCCTCCAAAAACCCTACCCAATTAAAACACTTACTAGTACCGCGGCACACCGAGACAGCTCTCCGGTGGCTTGTCCCACCAACACATTCCCTCTCTTTTTAGTTACAGCATATGCCAAAGCTCCTGCCAGCTGCAAACCCTTCCCCCACCAGACTCTATAGGCTTTTTCTCAGAATGAAGGAAAAAAAAAAAAAAAAAACTGACATGCACACTGGCTTTCCAAATGGCATTTCTTACATAGAGAAACACACACAAAAAATGGCACTTTCCCATATATATTGTTAATGAAGAATGTCTTCCTCTTTATGCTTTGTCACAGACAGTCTGAACTTGACCCCTGCCTATCAGGCCAGGGAAGGGAAAACCTGTAGTATGGGGGGTGGTCAGGGGTAGCTGAGAGGACACTGACTCTAATACTTTCACCTCTGGCTTGTCCCCCAACCAGAGGGCTTACTGTAGGCAATTGACTTGACTGCATAAATTCTCCAGGTTGTCATCTGTAGAATGGAGATCATGACACCACCTACCTCACAAGCTACTGTATGTAAAAGATTCAGCATAATTCCCAGAACAGCCCTAACAGGCACACATCAGTAGTTTTCTTGCTTG